TCAATCTCGCCATTTCGTCGGAGCAATAATAGTGATATACATAGATTTGTATAACTAATGTTGTTCACGAGTAGTGATCGATAAAAAAATAAATTTCGTGAAGTTTAAGTTCATTAGTTTATTATTTCTTTGGGTTCAGAATCAGGAATATAACGCACTCTATAAGTATGTCCCACTTTTAAATATACAGCCTGTATATTCATTTAATTCCTTTGCTTTTTCCATCTTCTAAGATTATTTAAGCATTGTATAATGGAGACAAGCAGAGTTAGATGTGAAAAAAGAGAGCATATAGTATGAGAGCATACAGCCAATACCCAGGGTATTAAATACGGATGTACACTCATACGTCCTTCTCGAGAACCATGATTTTATTTATAGTTAAAGTTGACATACTGCTACAAAAGTAAGTTAAGGTAAAGACAGTCGAAGGGATTCACGTGAATACAGGCATGTTCACTAGATTGCGTCTGTAACGTCCAACTTTAAGCATCGTCGAGCTGCTATCAAAGTTTATAACGGTATCCACAATTCTATATGCAAACGTCGCTAACTTTGTCTTGAAATGAACTCGTAGAATCACACACTGCGAGTTACTATGTACAAAGACAAACGCAGCTGTTAACATTTATATTAATAACCTAATGTAGGTTACGAATCTGTCTATTTAAATAATAGACATGTAGAACCTGGAGAAATTTAATTGAGAATTTGCAATTTGTCTGTCTCGTTCTCGTTTACGAATCACGTAGAGAGACTGAGCAAGTTCATAGTCTCAAGATTATTTCTACGTGTCATAACTTTTTGCTATATAATGAATACTATAATTTATTTACAAAAAAGTCGGTTTGTTGTTCTTAACGTTACGTATAAAGACCGAACTTTCTGTATTTGAAGTAACATATTTGATATTCTAATTACAGGTTTCTAACCGCGGTATGACTTCTTTTCATTTTTCCGTTATTTCGCAACGTTTACACGCTTCACGGCCACGGATTGAACGATTGCACGCTCCGTGGTCATCTTGTCACTAGTACATCAACCGTGTAACCGTAATAATTATTAAGTGTATAACCACGACTATCTATAATATTTGATCTGCTTTTTTTTATTTATGCCAAGGGATGGGACGAAAATGTTGTGTGCCTGGTGTTCAACGACACGCATATCTATAGCACTGATCGTGCGACGTGGCTATTGCACCTTGCACCTTGAGACATAAGTTGACAAGTTCCATGTGTCTATAATTTCACCAGCACCGTTATCACATTACTGCCTGGCGGCAGAAATAGGTAGGGTGACAGTACTTCCCTGGACGAACTGTTTCGCAAGGAGCTCTTCTGTTACTAATAAGACAAACTACTTTAATTATAGTATAATATCACACTAAAATAAGAAATGTTGGTAACTACGTACACGAACGTACGTACGAAGTAACAGCGCGGCTTGTATGCGTGCGCGACTGCCGCGTGCCGTGTACGAACACACACTTTCTCATAATAACAAAAGGCGCGTTGTTGGGACGATCAGTTTTAATGCATCGCAAGTGCATCGCGAAAGTGTGCGTCCCTACACGGCGCACGGCAGGCGCCCAAACATACCAGTCCCGCTGCTACATTGTAACGGAACGTTACAACGTTGTAAAATTCATTTTAGAATAAATCGTTTTTCAAATTTAACACTATTAAAAATTTAACACAAATATTATCTTCAACAAATATATCCTATTTTAAAATAATGATTGATTATATAACATTAAAACCATGATTTACCATAGACAACATTGCTTAAATCAGCATACGTTGCATTTTCGAATGATGTCGGAGATGCAGATAGAGGAAGTACCGGCGGCGGCCAAACTCTTCAGACAGCGTCAGAACGTCTTCAGAACTAGTCCACGCTCGGCTTGGGCGCGCTCACGATATAAAAAACCCTAAGCATATTTTCAAAAGTGCAACACTTTTATTTTTAACGAAGATTATTGCTTCTTAATCACATTAAACCTACTTAAATAGTTGTGAAAGTGCAAGTTCCCGCTTTAGGGTTAGTTGGATGACACACAAAATACTTGTAACGCTTTTATTTGCTAATTTCATGTTTTGTATTGTACTAAATTGTTCTATGTCGTTATTGCAGCAGCTCTTTCTACGATTATATAGATATGTACAATGTAAATTTGTACTATAGTACCATACGCTTTGAGAAATTTTAAAGATTGCATCATGAAAATTTCAAATTATAACGATCAAATTTAATTGTATTTTTTTCACTAGACGTTTTCTCTGGCTTATTTAGTTTTATATTTTATTTTCTAACAATAAGCAAACATCTCGGCCTTATTACCTAAATTCTTTTCTTTTAAATTTTTACACATTTTAAACTGCAACTCCGTTCTGGTCGCGCCACCTGCAATTGCTACTACGTAGGTGCTACCCTAATTCTCTTTTGCCGTCTGTGGGCTTTCCGAACGGAGGCAAAAGGACTGTTACTACCAGTTGGTTGTCCGTTGAAGGAGTCACCTTCGGGATAATTATTACCATCTACCTTCGGGTTGGAAAGCTACCTTTACTGAGCTTCCTTCGGGTTCATACACCTGGAGCTTGACTACGTCCGGACTAGGACGAAGCATTTCCGCTGAACGACTACCAATTGCTGCTCGTCCTGTGGACTTTCTTCTGCGCCGGAAAATATACAGGGGAGTACCATACTCGCAAGCGGAAAACCTAGTCTTAAGGCACGTTACCACGACCCGTAACAATTTATGTACCTTTTTTTAATTTAAATTGTAATTTTTTTTTTATTATAATTAATTCAGTTTTCGGATTTCTTTGTTTGATTTTGTGCCCTCATAGGGAAAATTAAACTAGGGAATCGAACCCGGTATAACGTTTGTACGGACTTACCATACTTATCTTTATTATACCATGACAATACTATCACCCAAGTAACATTAATAATCAAATAATATCGAGTTCCTACGTTTCTGCAGTTGCTATACATTGGAAATAAAAGTGGGTTTTTTTTCTAAATAAATCGTGTATATTTGTTTTTTTTTTTAAACAGAGCAATAATTCCGACTCTTTACAGGTTTTAGTCAGTCGATTTAGATCCGTAAAAATAGTTTAATTTCCGATGTGCTCATTTTTACTAAAACTACTTTTGTGTACGTATTGTGATTGTCGAGAAACGCAAAAAACGTTTCGTTTTGTCACAATGACTCTGCAATTTGAAGATGCGCGTAATAGAAGCTTATTACATCATTATAAAATATGTTAACACGTGCTTGAATATTATGTTATGGACGTATAATCACTGACCATACATAAAATGTCTAACTTAAAGGTGATTCCACACGCCTGTCATGACTCTGCAAACTTTCACAAATGTAAGTACTTGGATCGGGCGATTAACTCGGCTCGCGATAACTTGGCTTGACTTATCGGCGCTCGGTTCTTAAACGGGTGTTCTGTAGACCCGTGACAGACGAATACCTTGCAAATTTCAAAGCTGTGTAAATATTGTATGATAATTTTAGTATTTATGTGGTCTGTCGTAATTTTAAACAAAGAATTTTGACAGATGGCATGTCTTTAGAAGTGTACCAGCGTTCTTAGGTGTAAAACAGAATCTCTACAAACTGTTAATTGTAATAATTTAATGATTTTTCTTGAATATACTTGGAAATGTTTGCATTACTTTCAAAAAAGAACCCACAAAGATTGTCATTAGCGGAGCGTGCAACTCTTTGTCGGCTTAGACCTGCAAAATAAGTATGAAAATCGATTACTGTCCGCTGCCCTAAACTTTGAAATATATAATATATATCTACTAACACAGATCAATGTAGCTTCAAACCAAGTTTGCACAGCATAATTATTGAATTCATAATTCTCGCCACACATTTGTATCCATAGTTATAGTATTTTGTTTTAATTACTATTTATATTATGTACGACTTTTAATTTGTAAGTTTTATGTTTTTTGTGTATAAATAGAATTTGAATTCGAATTTTGAATATGAATAATCCTATATATTATATACATATGTATATATAGAGTATTCTGCCATGGTACACGATGTACTTAGTGTAAAAGAGAAATGGATGCTTAGGTGTTTCAGAAGCGTAGAGAGAATAAATGTAAGCTTGATAAAACAGAGGAAGATGATGAAGGGAAAAAAAGGAAGGGAAACCATGAATGACATATAATGAACAGATAAAAAATAATATCAAAGTGAGCAGCTATAAGGAGGTCAACGAGGTGGCTATGAACCCTGAGGAGTGGAGGGGGCTATATCGACGAGAGCCTAGCGAATAGAATGATTATGTCGGTGATTACCGTTTTGCGAAACACTGAGTAATTAATTCTTTATCATTCTATATTCTCTATTCATTTAAACCTTTATTGCATCGTGTTATAATATTCCTGCGTTTATTTATTGTCGTGATTTTCGTTTTACATTTTTGTCTACAAAAGTAAATAAGAATGATTATAAATTAATATCTATAATGTAAACATAATTAGTAATCAATGTGTAGTGTATTTATGGCAAACACATCTAGTAGAAGATAATCAACCTATGGTTGCACCCCCCTTTTCTACTCTTAAATTTCTAACCTAAGATTGCCTGGAAGAAATTACTGCTTAGCTACTAAACGGCCTGTTGTACATAGTACATTTTTGTGATACTTAAATTACCGTTCTGTTTTCTTAATATATAGTATTTTTTTTAATGTAAAATAAAGAATATGGCATTCATTAAAAATTTTTAACGGGAACTGTTAATTAAAAGTAATTTGTTTTGGTACAACCGCATTTGTTTTTCTTTACAGATTATGGATGGTAATAAACGCGGTGTGTGTTTTATATCAAATTAGTTTGCATGACTGGTGATACTAGTACATACACATGTATAATCATCTCTACGCTCTATCATTGTGTTTGTTTTTTATAAATTTATTGTTGGAACTTGTTATCTTCTAGTTGTATGTACAGCGTTGACGTGTATGGTGTCAGTGTTTATTTCCTCAATTTTTATTTTATATACCTCGTTCAAATCTTTCGTATTAAAAGGTAAGTCCCACACGAATTTGCTTCAAATATAGGTAGTTTAGTAGTAGTTATTAGTAATGTTTTTAATAAATGGCATTTAATTTTTTTATGATATCGAATAAGTCGTGTGCCCGGTGGTAACCGACCTGCCTGCCCATAACAGTTACAGTGTCATTCAAAACTTAAAATAGCAAAGATCTGTGGGGCACTGTCTGTGCGTCCCTCACCCTGAGACGTAAGTTAACAAATCCCATTGGCTTGCAATGTCACCAGCAGCCTAATCCTTGAAAACTGAAAGTGTTCACATTACTGCTTGGGAGTGGGAATAATTAAGGTGGCACGTGCACGGTGGTAAGTGCTAACCTGGACTAAATCTTTCACAAGGGGTTCTACTGCTAGTAAAAAGGAGAATTAACGATTAACTTACGTTTGAATCTTCCAGAGATTTCCTTTTTTTATGAAATTTAATAAAAAAATAAACGCACAAATCTAAACAAGACGTTTTATTATTGGTGGTAGAAAGTATTATTGAAAATATATTTATGATTTTTTTCTAGATGGCGCTGAAACTGTATAAAATGGATATCAGCCCGCCTGCGCGTGCGGCTATGGCTATATGCGACATTTTAAATGTTCCCGTTGAAATGATTGATATAAATCTCCAGAAAAAAGAACATTGGGCACCTGAGTTTTTACGGGTAGGTAATATAGAATTTATGTCGAATATCATAATTTATTTTCTGTAAAATTAATTACTATTAATCCACTACGTTATTATAATTATTAATACAAACATCGAACGCAAATAAAATTTCCTTCGATCTTATAGTACACGAACCTGCGTTTTTTTAACCGACTTCAAAAAAAGGAGGAGGTTCTCATTTCGACTGTATATTTTTTGTTGTTGTATGTATGTCACGCGATAACTCCGGTATTTGTACACCGATTTTCATGATTCTTTTTTTGTTGGAAAGAGAGTATCTCGATAGTAGTCCCATTTAATTTTGAAGAAAATCATCCACCTCCAAGAGTGGCTGTTCACGCATGAAGATTCATTTTTATAAATAGCGCTTCAATTTTATTATAAGAAGCAATTATTTTAATGGTTGATTTTGCTATCTCTAATTCAAGGCGTTTTTCTTTCTCAATATACTTTGAGTAGTGAGAACCGATTTTTTATTATCTCCTGTGTCAAGTTCCGTATAGTGGCGAACTAGGGGATGAATCCGGGTTTGCGCACTTTCCGGGAACCGATTTCAAAAAAACTTGGCAAATATTTTTGAGGTCGGTTTTTTTAGTACTCTGTACTGAGATTATTATAATATCAAGTGACGGGACAAACAAGTCGTACACCTAATGGTAAGCCACACGCCTGTACATAATAGTTGCAGTGCCACTCAGAGCTTTAAATCGCAAAGATCTAAGGGGCACTGTCACTGCGCCCGCCACCCTCAGATATAAGTGGACAAGTCCCATGTGCCTGTAATTTTATCAGCATCCTTACCCAAAACCGGAAAACAATAATGCTGACATTACTGCTTGGCGGCAGAAATAGGTAAGCAGTACTTCCCTGTAAGAACTTTTTCACAAGGACTCTACTGCTACTAAAAATGCGTCTGTATGCTAACCTAAGGCAACCGTTCTACCAACTGTGATACGGATCGAGTCAGCAGACCTTCCTGTCAGGAATTTTTGGTTGTGTTCGATCTTTATATTAATAATTATGTCATCATTTAATCATATTATTATTTTCATAGCAGCATTTTAAAGATTATTTTTACAAAATAATATTAATAATTTATTATTTGAAGCTTCTTTCGTTGGAAACACTGTGTATAAAAAGCTTTATACTGTTTTGTGGAAACAGAGAAAAAAATAAAAGTGCAATCGGAATGATAGTTACATAATACAAAAACATTCTTACCACTGCCTTGTAGATATCTACCTAATTCACAATTATCAATTACAGAAAAACCCCTTGCACTCAGTACCAGTACTAGAAGATGGAGACTTTGTCTTGCATGACAGGTAAGTACAAATGTTTTTCTTTGTTGTTTCGGTTTTCATATTTTTTGTCTTTAACAATTACGTAACACGTGTTTTTGTCGATATAGCTACGTTACATTAATTCGGCCATGAAGATAAACTCCGCTCACAACAACAGTGCTTATTATTGCTCTTAGTGAATGAATAACATGAGGTATTATTACTTGCTCCGTGTTCAACTTTATCTAAAACTGTCTTTTTTAGTCACGCCATTCTCGCATATCTGGTAGATGCATATGCCAGCAACGACAATCTGTATCCAAAAAACATAAAGAAGAGAGCGCTGGTAAACCAGAAACTTTTTTTCGATAATGGCATACTGTTTCAGAGACTTCGAAATGTTACCGTAAGTTATTCTACTTTTAAATCAAATATAATTTTAGTAGCAGTAGAGCTTCTTATGAAAGAGTTCGTCCAGTGTAGTACTGCCACCTTACCTATTTCTGCCACCAAGCAGTAATGTTACCATAACTGTATTCCGGTTTTGAAGGGTAAAAGTGCTGGTGAAATTACAGGCACATGGGACTTGTCAACTTATGTCTCAGGGTGAGGGCGCAGTGGTAGTGCCCCTCAGATCTTTGCGATTTAAAGTTCTGAGTGGCACTGCAACTGTTATGGACATGCGTGTAGCTTACCATCAGGCGTACGACTTGTTCGTCCCGTCACTTGATATTATATAAAAAAAAAGATTTTATAACTTATTGATGACCTTGTTGTTCCAGTGGTTATACTCCGTTCAACCAATAATTTAACTTTAGACATATGCATGCCTCCGAAGTTCCGTAATTAGTGACATACAACCATAAACAAAAAAATTCAATAATTCCTGAACTCTTTTATTTTTTTAATTTTAGTGAAGCGACGTACTCTTTAGCTCTGATATTTATCGAGTCAACAGATTATGCAAAGAACATAAGTAAAGTTGATACATTTTGGTACCTGTCTAATAAATTATAATGAAATGAAATAAATCATATAATATAATCATATAATAATTATTATAATAAATTCCTATTGTTTATTATAGTGAATCGTCGGATTCTTCTTCGTCGGGATTGGAACCCGCTGAATGTTTGTATGAAAAGTTTTAATCGTGAATTCATTCACGATTAAGACTTCTTTACAAATAAAATCGATTGTTGTAAAAATTCGAATCGGAAACGCAATTGGACATCACTAATTGATTACAATTCGAGCGGTCAAAAGTGAAATAAATAGTTGGACGGAGTAAAGCATTACGGATTTTGCTTCCTATAGTCCTAAGTTCAATACCCAGCAGGACAAAGTATAAAAAACGAACTTTTCCCATCTAATATCTAATAAAATGTTCTGCTCTGTTAATTTACTTTCAGTATGAAGCATTTGTTGAAGGCATTACGAAAGTACCTCTGAAGAAACAGAAAGATATTGAAGAAGCATACGGTTTTCTGGAACAGTTTCTTTCCCAAACAAAATGGCTGGCGGGAGAGAATATGACTATAGCCGATATATCAGCCTATGCTGTGACTGCTTCAATGCTTTACATAGTAAAACTCGACTCTAAAAAGTAAGTATCATTTTAATTGCCTCAGTGGCCGAACGGTTACCATGCTGATCTATACGAAGAGTTCCCGAATTCGATTCCCGGGCCAAGAGAAATATTTGTATAGCCTACATTTATTTCTCTCGTAAGTTTGGGTGTAATTTGTGGTCTATGTCTGTGTCCATGGCGCCAGCGACACAGGGTTTTATTAGTGCGGGGATATTAGTGTATGCGTTATTTTATTTACTTCATTTGTGTATTCATTATTCTAATGCTAATGTATTAATTTGCAAAGGAGAATATAATGAGACAACCTGCAAAAGCCAAACGAATAATTGCCATAGAATTCTTCATTGTTATTATTATTATTATACCCAGTGAAAGGACGAAGAAGTCGCCCGCCTGGTGGTAAACGACAAACCTATCCACTGTTACTGCGCCAGTCACCCTGAGACAAAAGTTGACTAGGCACGTGGGTCCCTGTAATTTCACCAGCACCCTTACCCTCCCAAACCGCAGTAATGCTCATGTTACTCCTTGGCGGCAGAAATATGTAGGTAAGGTAACATTACTTCCCTGGACGAGCTCTTTCACCAGGAGCTCTACTGCTACTAAATTAAAGGTCGCAGAACCTGTATTATATAAATACATATTTTTTTAACTTTATTTAATTTTAGGAGTTTTGTTCTAGAGGACATGCCAGTCCTATCATGTTGAGCCTTATTGTCATACAATTTGCAGTAAATATATTTTTTTAAATATTATTACTACATTAAAAGCACTATTAAGGCAATTATCTATTAAGACAATTAACGCCGATAATTATTTATATTTTATGTTTTTTTCACTAAAATTTTAAACATCGTAAATGGCTAATTGTGACTCTTAACCGGAATCTTATTGTAGAAGCGTATACATTGCCCTTATTAAATTTGAGACTTTGTGAAGACGACTATCAAGAATAAAGCAGAATATTGAAAAACAGCTTCCGTATACTTTTTCAGATATCCGAAAACCCTGGCTTGGTTGGACGAAATGAGGAAGCAGCCATTCAATATGAAATACAGCGGTGCTTTAGCACAGTTCGGTAATTTTCTAGAAAATACACTGGAGCTTGAAAAGTGAAATAAAATGCACATGTGTACTAACTGCCAACACAATAAAATAAAACAATTAAAGATTTATAATTTTTTTGCGTTGAAAGCAACAAAAATGTTTCATTATTTAATCTTTTTCAAAGGAAAATTATTAAATAAAGAAAAATGTTTGTTTTTTCTGAAGCTTACTTATAGAGACTACAGCAGTTTTCCCGTTAGTAGGAAGAATAGGATGAATTAGTTTTTCTCCGTAGAAAACCTGTAGTAATGGTTACAACTTGGTTTTTCTAACGTAACATTTGGATAAAATCCTGAATATTGTAGATGGCATAATAAATAAAACGTGCGAATTCGCTTATTGCTACAAGCGTCAGCGTCGGAAGTCAATTACAAATATATGATTTTATTTATAAAAGGCCACAAAAGCGAAGCGTTACGCGCCTTTTTTGCGGGTAGTATGCAAGAAACTCGCTCCGCGGGTCGTTTGACGCAATATTTGTTTTATTATTTTGTCTTTATTTGTTGTTTGGTTACTACTGAAAGCAAATAGTTATTAATTTGAATTATTCCAAAAATATTTGGTGAGATTTGTTTTAAATATGTATTAATAATAAATAATTCAAATTAATAACTAATTCGTAAAAAGAATTGTACTTTACACCCCCGCCACTCAGTACAACACGCTCGCTCAATCCATTCCTTGTCTTCGAAGTAATTTATAATTGTGACGGTTTTTTGACAGACATGCGTTAAAACAAACAGCTTTCCCCGCGATGTTTTTTTAATTTGATAATTAATAGACAGGTGATAATTAGCAAAAGTTGCAAACGTAACAAAAAATTATATCTTTAAAACGAAACGTCACGAATTCGACCTCCAACTTACCTGAAAGTCGCGATGAGGTCGGCGACACTCTCGCTTTGAACAGGCCCAAGTTATAGCATTCAGGGAATATGTCTCCAGGCAAGGATTCCAGTCCATAGCCGTTCGCCATATAAATTTGGTAGTGTAACGCTTCGTGCAAATCTTTTGAATATCCACAACAAAGGGGTGGAACCCCTGCCTACGTCTAGTCCCCCGACGACGATCGAAAGGCGATGACGGAATGAAATTGTGCAATTCCATCACACATTCACCGTGATAATCCTGTAAAGTACCGATGTTTACGATAACCGTTGATTTAATTAAATAACAAATTTTTAATTTAATATACGCTATACTTTTTGAATTTTTGAATTTTTACTAAAAAATAAAATAAAACATATCAATAAGTAGTACTGCAGTCCTCTCTCAAAGTAGATCTCAAACTCGTGACAGGGAGAAATCACTTTCCCTGTTGAAAATAGGATGTTTTTTTTTAACTTTCAATGGCCACTCGTTGCTGCATCCTGCTGCTGCTGGATATAAAAATAGGTCTTTTTCCAGTGTGTAACAATCGTGAAGACCTAACTCGATTATCTAATACATGTTAAAAACACTGTCTCCTTAAAAGTGTATAAGAGAGAGAGATCACAACTTACATCATAATATCACAATTCTCAATGCCAATTGAACCCAGAAGCTAGGATTTTTAATTAAAAAAAAATATTTATTAATTATATTATAATATATTAATTATTAGGATTTTTAATGTGGTGCATAATATATATAGACTACATTTGTATGGATAATCTCGCGTACCTACACGTATACATACAAATAATTTGGAGAAAGTAGTCGACGGAAAATTATAAAAATAAACTACTGGGGTTGATACAGAACCAATTAAAGCTTATTATTCCTATTTCAAATCAGCATTGTAAATCATTTTTCAGCATGTAAGTTGAAAATAAAGTTCAAGCGAATAAAATATACGCGCCTTTTCTCTTGTTTAACGAGATCTCTTATAGAATCGGTTCACGATTTACACGCTCAGCGAACATATTCAAGATATTATTTTGCCGTTTGGCTTGGTCGCTTGTGTAATTTTTATTGAATCATAAACATCAAAAAATATTATTTAAAAAAATCCTTGAAAGTTGCCTGTTTAGTGTTTTCAGGTCGTTTCAATCTATGAAATTATGTGCGTAAATAAACCCTTTTGTTATTAACCGACTTTAAAAAAGGAGTAGGTTCTCAATTCGACTGTATTTTTTTTATATGTATGTTACGGGATAACTCCAGTATTTGTGAACCGATTTTCATGATTCTTTTTTTGTTGGAAACAAACAGAAAAACACAAAAGTTTAAAATAACTGATACAAAAACGTCGCCATATTAAATTACGATTTTTCTGTACCACTGCGACTAACAAAAATATACGAAAGGCTTTTTCGGACTAATGGTTATACGATCAACGTTGCTACCCGACCCTGCAACACCCGATGCCACCAAAACTAACCTAACGCCCATCAAAATTCAGTTCGAAAAGATTAAATACAACAACCTAACCAAAACCTTTCTTGATTTAAAGTCAAATCACGCACAGCCCCTTGCGGGCCGCTTTAGCAGGTTGACGCACGATATCTAGTTAGTATATCAAGAAGTGAACGGATTAGGTAGAATAATCGTTGATGGATATTTAATACAATAACAAATAACTACTATATAATAACAAATACTAAATAATAACAAACACTATTTTTGCAAACAAGAAAAAATATAAAAACAGACAAAAGATAGGGTACAAGTGAGCTTGGCGTATAGCAATCTTTTCACGTAATAAGTACATATGACACTTAAAAGTAAAATAAATAAATAAGACACAAACATTTGGGAAATGTTATTACGTACAACCACATATATATATCACAGTTATAGAAGAAGGAAAACACAAAAAGAGAGGAGTACTACAAATAAAAAAAAAATTGGAGAAAGGAACAAAATTGACCTACGAGATAATGAGTTTTAAGTAAAGTTTTGTACCACTCAATAGATTCGTTAGTCGGTCGTCTGCCGCTAGTGAATGTTCCTCGAAAGGCATAATATTGCACTAACTATACAAAAAGTCATTCCACATGTTCCACTAAATAAAGATGACGTTTACCAATTTTCATCAAGGATAAAAACGAAATATTTCTAATATTTATGTTTTATGCATAAGCTCACTTTGTTTCTCGTTTACGGTTTTATCACATTCAAAGTTTTGCACATTTTGTGCTTGAAAATTCAAATTCAATTCTAATTGACTGTCTGTCTTATGATGAAAAAGAAATCCAATCATCTTGTAAAAACGGTAGATATTCCACAGTCCGATTTTTTAGACACTATATAACTAAATATAAGTGTGATCTCGTAAGTGTATTCACGTATGGTCACATTTATCGCAATAGATATACACAGTAGAATACCGACATATGTAAACATATCCATAAAATTGAACGTAATATGAATAAAGATGAGGTTAGGTGGTAAAAACAGACAACTTATGCCCGGCACCCACTGAAGGGATGGCTTGGCAGAGAAATTTAAAGTAGCGAGTTGAAATTTCAATAATATGGTCCCAGCTGCAAAAATAACGTTGCTATAATCTTAGAGATACCTACCAGGCAACCTCTGGAATGCTGTTGCAACCTTTGGGATGCTTTGGCACGCTTCCGAAAGTTATTCACCCAAAATTGTCTCCTTCTCAGAATGTAGTTCTCTACTTCAGCAACCATTTTGTAACATACAACTGGTAATAAACCAGCTTGCAAAGTAACGACTGATCTGAAAAGAGGCTAGATACGAGCATGATGTCGCGACAGTAGGCTTCGGCATGCTTCCTCAGGCATACTGGCTGCAATTATGCCATGGTATAATTCCCATGGCATAATTGCAGCCAGTGTGTGCTTGAATGTAGGAATGCCGAAGGATCTCTCGCTATGCCATCAATGACAGTACTTCCCAAGACAAACTCTTTCACAAAGAGTTCCACTGCAACTAAAATTAATATGATTAAACTACAATTTAAAAAATACCCGATCCAAAACAAAGTACCCCAAAAAATCACTATCTGTGGCCCATCGAGACCAATTTACCTCAGATCAAGGTTTCAAGGTTTAAACAATTACTGTAATGGATGATGATGATTAGCTTTCCATAGTCTACCAAATTTAAAGTCGATCGGACATATGGAAGAAAAATAAGTAATCGTTTTATGTATGTGATCCCTCTTCTAACTGGGAAAAGAGCTGATGATCTTTACACATATATTATATGTATATATATGCATACCATCGCCCGTGACTAGCGATATGGTAGGCATAGTTAAAACTACACACTTGTGTTGATTTTTTGTCAGTCAAGCACACCTTCGACTCTGGACTCGAACCAGCGACTGTTGATTTAACGTGGCTAAGGATCGCAACAGCTTCAATCTTTGTATGAACAATAACAAACAAGTCGTGTGTTTTTATAAAAAAAAAGAATAGCTTGGTACAAAAAAACATAATATATCATTGTACATAAACATAAAATATCATTAACGTAAGTTGGCATATTATGGTATTGAAGCGCTTATGAATTCAAATTAAAGAAATAATAAATAACATGTTCATAGGAAATGAAACTATTTTTCAGGATTTAAATCGCGTATATTTGTTTTTTCAAACAAACCAACGTTTCGGGCCCTGTTACAGGTCCCATGGTCACGGTTGAACAATGCTCATTACAAAATGTAGAACTAACTTAATTCGTGCATCCACAAATGTATAGGTTTCAATAGGCGATTGTCGGTGTAGCGTTGACGTGGCATCATCAGTTTCATTTTAAAATATCTATCAAACTGTTTTGCGTTAGGATAATAGACAAATTTGGCATAATTCAAATGTTAAAGCAACAAGTTAAAAACAAAGGATAAAATCATCCATTGTTGTCAACTGCTAGAAATTGGACACTAGTTTCGCAGCACAATTATTATACAGCTTCATCAACAAACGTCTGTTAAACATGTAATATTAAACGACATAACTCGTCAATAGGACGGCTAACTGAAATAATTGTTCCGAAAGCCATATAGTACAGCAAACATCACGTCTATGAGATTGGATTGAAGTGGGCGCCATGCCAATACGTACACATCTAGACCGACAGAGG